AATTTGCTAACAGAGTGTAGATCTTAATGGCTGCCTCATTAGATTTTATGGTATGTATTTAGATTATATATACTTGTCATATTATGTTATATAACATAATTATATAGTACTATATCTAATGACATATAGTTACATTATTATCTATTATATGTATATAGCTACATAAATGCATGTAGACAAAGGCTCATTTTGATGGGGATACTGAGTAATGGATCATTCATACCGTAACAATGGGAGTATACGTAAATGCAACTTTCTGGAACGCACTTTGTCAAATTATATCTGAAATGGCAGCAACATTCATTCCTATTGACCCCATGATTCTAGAAAGCACACCAAAGATGCATTGATTAGGATACTCAGGATCCTTAGTATTATTTATAATACCGAAAACAATATTGTGCTGTATCCAACAGAAGCCTTTGTTAAGTGAATATTCTTAGTCTACAAGGAGACAGCAACCCTGCTTTGACGAAGAAATAAGACCAGGAAAGTACTATTTAGGAATATGACTTGGACAGAAAATAAATACAGCCTTTACTACAACTAATGTATTTCATGGTATCAGTGATTTGCTTTTCCATTTATTTAATATATTTAATGTTTATTTTCTATTATAAATCACCTCCCATAGCATGCTGTTCTGGTATAGAACTAGGGCCACTGTCTCTGAATTTCATCAATCCCAGTTTAAATTCCCACTCTGCCAGCAGCCCAGTTTTGTGATTTGAGATAAAACACGTCACCTCTCTGAGCCTCAGATTCGTTATCTGTATTACAAAGAATTGACACTGCAATTCTGTAGTGTGATTCTGAGAATTAGGAATATTTATGTTAAGGAACCTGGCCCACAGCATACAGGTTCCAAGGATTAGCTATGGCGAGAGATTGTTTTGTGAACACGAAATCTGTTTTAGCCTACTTGTCACGATTTAATGCTGCTCTATTTGTACATCCTTGTGCTCAAGGTTGACTGTCCATTTGTTAGCACATCTGCATATTCCTCATAATTAATTTCTTTTTTAATGACATATGGTTTAGTGACTGGAAATGGAGTCTGGCCTTCTGTTTTCAATTTGTTTATGACTCAATGACTCAATATGTGTGTCTGAACTCTAATGTTCCATTCTGGAAACTGGAATTTAAAATCCTCACTCATATGTCGCTGTTTCAGAAAACAAGAGGAAAATGTGTGATCGGAGGGATTTGAGCACATGCCAGGCCATCCAGGCAGGATGGGTACAGATGAGAGGTCATGGCTTCTCCCGTGAGATGTGAGCAGGGAGACCTGAACGAGGATGCCAGCCAGCCATCTCTGAGGTGCGGGTAGTTAGGGCTGCGCTGGGGTCAGATTCCAAGTGAAGCCAGCGGGAAACTTCAGGGCTGCTCGGAATGAGCACACGCAGGTGGACACGTGTCCCAGGCCCTGGAATTAGGCTGAGGACCTGATTGCCCCAGATGAACTATGTCCCTGTGGCAGGGCCTCTGAAAGGCTGCTCCTCTGAAAGGCGGGGTCCAGAGTACATGCACATCTGAGTCCTGATTCCTGAAACCCTTGTAGCACTCACTGTATCTGTGTGTGTGTATGTGTGTGTGTGTGTGTGTGTGTGTGTGTGTAATATATATATATATTGATTTCAGAGAGGAGAAGGGAGAGAGAGAGAGAACACCAATGATGAGAGAGAATCATTGATTGGCTGCCGCCTGCATGCCCCACATTGGGAATCAAGACTGTAACCCGGGCATGTGCCCTGACCAGGAATGGAACCGTGACCTCCTGGTTCATGGGTTGACGCTCAACCACTGAGCCACGCCAGCTGGGCAGCACTCAACTTTTTTATGCTGTGTACACATTTGGCGTTATAGTTATTTGAGTCACGTCTTATCTCTATTAAATGTCAAGTAGATCGGCCCATCCCTTTTCTATCTGCCCTGCCCTTTTCCACCCACAACAAAGAGCCTTGTGCAGAATGGCATTCAGTGTCTTTTATTATAGGTTTACATTGAATACAAACTATGATGGGCTTCTTTGGTATCTTAAGGCAATATTTTATTCCAGTGGCTCGAAATGCACACACATACACACAAAACATACACCACAGTGGTAACAAGTTGGTGCTACGAGAATCCCACTGAATTTATTTTGTCCCCAAAACTTTACTCTTCCAGCCACTACAACCTTAGAAAGTCACTGGTCACATGAAAAAAAAAAGTCTTTTTTTTTGCTTCATAGACCTTCCCCCAGAATTCTGTATATCTGTATGGAGCAAAGGTTTGGGGCCTTCTGTTTGTTTGTTTTTGGGGGGGGAAGGGTTGTGGTTTTATTACCATTGTTTGGATAGGGAAGGATCCACCAGTATACATTTATCTAAAAGGTTAATAAAATCCTACATTTATAAGTTTAATAAAAGCATGCATTCAAAAGATTATACCACAAAAAAAAGATTATACCAGCTATACTAGTTCAATCTGTGATTTAATTTATTACTTAAAGCTTTGTATTCATTTTGCCTTCCAAAAAAAAAGGTTAAATTTGAAATTTTATGAAGAGCACCCTTCCTTTGAATTTATAGGTCGGGGTGGCTGTTTTTTTCCAGTCGCCGTGTAGAATGAGTATTTACTGGGCAAGATGTGTTGATTCAGGAGGTTGTCTGTGGAGTGCTTGCCCCGGGAGGGTCATATTAAACTTGAGAGAAGTGTTTTGAGCAACATAGCATCTTGGAGGCCATATATCAAGCTGATAGATACGCGGCTCTCCTGCTACGGAACCAGGGATGGAATTATGGCCGGCTCCCAGTTATTGCTTCGGGGCTAAGGGGCCTCTGAGGAATAGGTTTGGATAAAAGGGGTTAACCAAAGGGGAAAGGAAGGTTTCCAGGATTCAGCGTTACCGAAAGCACGCAGAATGAAGAGTGCTACGTAAATAATTGAGGATGATCACTCTGTTTGGAAATATTTTGCAATGTTATATAACCAGAGTGTGACCAATTGAATGGAGTACTTTTTTTGTTGTTGTTATCACTCAGAAGAGAACTCAAGATATTGTATCATTATTATTATTGTTTTTGTTGTTGTCATGATGGGGTCTCCTTCTGGACATTTCTCTATTTTCTGATAGCACGGTGATGTAGTTTTTAACACTTGAAGAGATTATTTTGGTGGGCATATTTATTACTCAAATGTCTCATGTTGATAATGTGTCAAAGCTGATTTTTGTTCTGATTTTTATTCTCCCGGCCACCTTCCTATTGTCATTGAGGTCTCTGCTCAAATGTTACCCAATGACAAGTTCTTCCCATGGCTTCCCTGTACAACTTGAACTGTTATAAAATAAGGAAAATCACAATTCTTTCCACTTTCCCTCCCCTTGCTCTGCTCTGCTTTCCTCCCGGGCACATGTCACGGTGCGGTGTGATCTCGTGCATCTGTGTGCGCATGGCCTGCTGCCTCCATTCCCAGGGACGCCCCGTCTCCTGCACCCAGTGCTGTTCCCCCTCCACACAGGAGATCGCTGCTTCATACAGAGGAGAGGCTCAATACCTGGTTATTGAATAAATTAGCAAATCATTGATGAACTCGAAACCCTGACAACGAATTGATGGGACGTGTAATCTAATTCTTCCCTTTTCATCTCCGGTCATTCATTAACCTCTCAGTTCACAGGCAGGTTATCCCGAGTTGGAGAGCACATAACACTCACACCACAGAAATGAATGTTATAAAAGAAGTTGAAAATGAACCCTGAAAGTTGTTTTTATTGTTTTGATCTCTTCTCCTTCACCAATGGCCCCTACTCATCTTGGACCATAAGGAGCTTATATTACAGTAAGAATATTTCTAAAAATTACATTGTAGCACTCTAAGGGAAGTTCAAATTAGTCTAATAAAATAACAATAGGAATAATCATGACTGATAAATTAAAAATTGCCAGATCAGAGGCAATGTAACTTTAGGTGCTTTATTTACATTATCTGTGATCTTTACGGCAATCCTGCAAAGGAAAAAAATCTGTCCCCATTTTAAAGATGAGAAACATACCTCAGAGTCATTAGGTGATTTTGCTAAAGCCACAGAAGTTTGTGTAGTTTGCTTCTGAGTTCCTGACGGGCTTTAGAACAGGCTTTGATATGATAGGTTCCTTCAAGTTATACCTGTTGGGGAAATAATTGAATAACCAGAGTCATTGTGTCAGCTTTGTAAGTAGAATAGGCTTTAGTTCTACTCTTTCCTGTTAGGCCTTCCAGAACTGTTTGAATAGGTTGCCCCGGTAGATTGTATCAAGCAGGTCCACTGAATTCAGGGAAGATTCACCAGAGATCCCACCCGCCTGTGAAAAGCAACATGCATGCCCCACCTTGCAGCATTTTGGAATAAGGACGGAGTCACGGTGAGAAGGGGCGGCGGACTGTGTAAAACCCAGGCGCATAGGGTTTCACTTTTACATTTTCATGGGTGAGAATCAAGGCTAGAGTGGGCTCATTGCAGCCATTCCTGCGTATTTATCATTGTAGGAAAACACACTTACAATAAACCTCCCTCAACACGAAAATGACAAGCCCGTGTGCTCATGAGCACTGTGATTAAAGCGGCGAACGGGCGACATGGGAGAAATAAAACCCTGGACTCCTTCCCTGGTCGATTGCTTGATGATTGAGCAAAAGTTACATTGAAAAGGCGCTTCAGCATTGGCTGCACTAGATTCCCTCGGTGTTTTCAATTAGACAAACAGAAGTCCAGGTGGGAATGTGCTGCGCATTCGTCTGCCTTGCCGTGTGCTCGGGGGCTGGCTTCTGGGAGTGAAATCCCAGTGCGATTGTGCTGAAGTGAACAATAGGGACCTACAGCGGCTCAGGGACGAAGATGTTAAACTAATTGGGCCATGGTTAACACGGCTGTGGATCCCGAGCCACAGTTCTTCCAGGATACGGGGCATTTCGGTCCGTCCAGCATATGTTCGCCGCGGTTTTCTCTGCTCTAATTCATCCATGTGTCCCCACAGCTCCAGATGGCATGCTGCCTCCCAGGCTTGCGGCCGCCGCTCCGACCAGTCTTCAGGTTGCCTGGTCTACACCAGCTCGGAACAACGCCCCCGGCTCAGCCCGCTACCAGCTCCAGATGAGGCCGGGCCCCTCCTCCCCTGCGTTGCTAGAGTGAGCATTCTGCCCCTTCCATCCTCCCAGCGGGCACTGGGGTGTGGTATAGCCATAGCTTCATCTTCGTTCCCATTTGTAAAATGAAATTTACTGGGGCAACATTGCTTAATAGCCTTAGATGAATTTCAGGTGTTTGAGCATAGGTCCGTTCTTATTTGTAACAAATAAAAACCACCTTTTGTTTTTATTTTTAATTGATTTTTAGAGAGAGGGGAAGGGAGAGGGATAGAGAGATAGAAACATTGAAGAGAGAGAAACATCATTGATCAGCTGCCTCCTGCATGCCCTCCACTGGGGATCGAGCCTGCAACCCGGGCATGTGCCCTGACGTGAAATCATACCGGTGACCTCTTGGTTCATGGGTTGACGCTCAAGTACTGAGCCACGCCAGCCAGACAGGCCACCTTTTAAAAGTTCATACAAACAAAACAACAAGCAATACCCTTGGGCAGTGATGGCGAACCTTTTGAGCTTGGCATGTCAGCATTTTGAAAAACCCTAACTTAACTCTGGTGCCGTGTCACATATAGAAATTTTTTGATATTTGCAACCATAGTAAAACAAAGACTTATATTTTTGATGTTTATTTCATATATTTAAATGCCATTTAACAAAGAAAAATCAACCAAAAAAATGAGTTCGCGTGTCACCTCTGACACGCGTGTCATAGGTTCGCCATCACTGCCCTAGGGGATAATGATTTGCTTTGTAAAAATACCTACTTTTCATGTGAAAATAAGATTTTACAAGAAGGTTTCTTCACACTTCATTTTTCATCAGCACATCTATTACATAAAGCAAGCATGCACTTGAACCCCCAAAATGCTGTCTGGTGAACTGTGGCTACAAAATTATAATACATATCCATCCTACAAGTTCCATGTGGCAAACATGCTTAATGCTAGCATTGACTGAGTGCTACTGTCATGTACAGCTCACATGAATGCAATATTATGAGCCCTCAGCCAAATGGCTACTCATTTTCAAAGAGGTAGCATGTGAGGACGGAAAAGTGCAATGCTTAACTGCATGTTGACCTTACCTGTTTATTTCTTTGAGTGTCTGAAACTCTCTAAAATGTGTCCCTATAGGTTATTTTCCAGTCCTTCGGCATCGTTAAGCCATGAAGTGAGGGACCTCCAGCCGCACACGGAGTACGCGTTCCGGGTGGTTGCCTCCAATGGATTTGGCAGTGCGCTCAGCCCTTGGATTCTGTTCATGACGACGGAGGACAGTAAGTGTTCTGCACGATACGCAGCCAAATGTCCTCTACACGGGGGAGTCTTGAATGTCTTTAGTTTTTCCTAAACTCATAAATAGTCCTCCTGTATTCTTTGGACATCTAGTGGCAGTAGTCTTCTGTAGGGCAAGGGTGGTTAAATGTTCCAGAAAGAAGGAAAATGCGTGCCTGGAGGGTTGGAGGGCTGGGCGTACAGACGTGGCCCCATTCCATCCTTCAGGGTACCTCGAGGTGCCCTGCGAGAGAAAGCTTGTCAGCTTGTCCTCTGTGACCAAATGTTGCAGGGCTCTCTGCTCTGGAGGGGTTCCTGCAGGTAGAAGACCTGAACTATGGGCCTGACGGTTTGAGGATGCTCAGAGCATCATGATACCTTTCCCTGGAAGTAGGTTTCCTTGTACTTCTATTTGCACTTGACAGACAGCCTTCTGAACCGAGAAGTAGAATCTACTCGCAGTGATTCTGCATCTAATACCTACAATAGATTGGGGTTGCCTTAGTCAACCCAGAAAGTTTGTAGTTTTTCATGGAAGAGCTATGTTTGCATTTATATGTTTTTACTAGGTTATATAAGAAATAAACTCATGGACATAATATTTAGTTTTATACAAACTACCTCTATAAAAGCATACCAGTGGAAGCATAATTTTGTGTAGAGAAGTTGTAAATTAATGCGAGCCACACAGAGTGAATGAGGACACTGGATCTTTGAGCATTGATGATATTTTTAGGGTTAATCTTGTCAATTCTTTTAATCCGGGGCTTCTTAGAAGATGTTGTTCTGTTGGCCAACTGCCATTCCAGCTCTATGTCCAGTGAGGACTGGAGTGACTTTCTCAAAACTAGATATTAGTCCAAAGGCATAGTGTTTGAAACAGTACCAGTTGTTTATTCAATAGAATATTTATTTCTACAGTAACCTTAATTACAGTATTGTAGTGAGGAGGTGACATCAGATGAGATAGAATCAGAACTATTTTCGTTCCTCAAAGCTTCCCTAATTTTACAAACATCAGTTATGAACAATAATATGTACTATTTCGTCCATTTCTCCCTGGGAGCAAGTTAGGTCCTTTACAGGGCACATCCCAAGTCCTTCTGGTCTTGAGGGGACCATTTAGCAAATTATCAGCACAGCGCAGTAAACACCGCCTAAGGCCCAGGAGGCATTAATGCGCCACTCAGCACACCTACTCCCCTTCAGGGGGACTTCCATACACTCCGGGGAAGCGGGCAGCCTGGTCACAAGCTCTCTACAGATTTATGGTCTAGAGAGCTCACACTTGAAATAGAGTTTTAAAGAAATAATTGTTAAAACAATTGAATAAAGAGATGACCTGAACATAATTATTCAACCCACTGCAGAGGTGATTCCCATAGAATGCCACACTGGAAAAGGGAAGAAATGGTCTCCATTCTCTGGCACTCATCATTTCTATTCCCATCTATGGATTACCTCGCTGGTGATGCTTAATTAATAGGGGGCATGATCTCCTATCCACAGGCAGGAAGTTCAGCAGGACAGGAAATGAGCACTAGCCGCCCAAGCAAATGCGAGGGTGCAAAGGGAAATTCTCGTGGACAGAGAAAAGGGCCGTGAGGAATTATTTAAAATATATTTTTATTGATTTCAGAGAGGAAGGGAGAGGGAGAGAGAGATAGAAACATTAATGATGAGAGAGAATCATTGATTGGCTGTCTCTTGCACGCCCCACACTGGGGATTGAGCCCGCAACCCGGGCATGTGCCCTGACCTGGAATGGAACTGTGACCTCCTGGTTCATAGGTCAACGCTCACTACTGAGCCCCCTCAGCCAGGTGATCTGAGGAATTTTTAATTAAACCTATTGGTGAGACATTGGTTAATAAAATTATGCAGGTTTCAAGTGTCCATCTCTATGATACATAATCTGTATATTACATTGTGTGCCCACCACCCAAAGTCAAATCATCTTCCATCACCATATATTTGACCCCCTTTACCTTTTACTAACCCCACTCCCCTTCCCTCTGGTAACCACCATACTGCTGTCTGTGAATTTCAGTTTTATGTCACACATATAAGTGAAATCATGTGGTTCTTAGCTTTTTCTGTCTGACTTAATTCGCTTAGCATAATAGTCTCAAGGACCATTCAAGGTGTCCCATATGGTAGTAGTTTATCTTTTCTCTTTATTTTATTTTAAATCTTTATTGCTGAGAGTATTTATCTTTTCTTATGGCTGAGTACTATTACGTAGTATATAGGTACCACATCTTTATCCAGTCATCTATCAGGGGACACTTTGGTTGTTTCCATGTCTTGGCCACCTTGAATAATGCTGCAGTGAGCATAGGGGTACATATGTCTTTGAGGACAAATGCTTTGGAAGGATGGATTGGTTAATGGAAAAGTCTATCTGCCTGGCCTTCAGGGCCTATAAGGCACCCTGCTCTTCCCAATGTGGAACCTCTCGTTCTTTGCAGACTGCACTCCTGCCTTCCTGAATTCTCCCATCAGCATACTTAATTTTCTATCCCAAACCTTTAAGGATGGGTCCAGAGCTATTTACTGAACTATATGCTCCAATTCTGGAAGAAAAAGCATTCTTACTAATGTATACTCTCTGGTCCTGATCTCAGGAGAAATGGAGAAAAATAGTTTCCCAATATTGGTTCTCCTACTCTCAGACGACCAAGTAATATCTTTTCCATTTTCACACTTACTGGTCTTCAGCAGTTCCTTTTATTAATCAACTAGAGGCCCAGTGAACAGTCAGGGCCAACCAGCCAGGGGGAGGGACCACAGGAGGTTGGCTGGCTGTGGGAGTGCACTGACCACCAGGCAGAAGCTCCTGCGTTGAGCATCTGCCCCCTGGTGGTCAGTGCATGTCATAGTGACTGGTCGACCAGTCATTTGGTCGACCTGTCATAACAGTTGCTTGGGCTTTTATATATATAGATGGCGCCTGTGTTACCAGCCTTTTCTTATTTCATCAGTTGCCAAGGAGCTGCATGTTCATTTTGGTGCAAAATCATGGTGCCCGTTCTTCCTCTTTGTTTTGGGATAAGCTGTTGAATCCTTTTCATCATCATCAGATTAATATTTCTTTATCTTTATTTTATTGGTCCTATTACATTTAAGTCTTTTATGATGAGCTGTCAGAAATCCTGTCGGCAGGTAGTTGGGGTATAAATAATAAATTGATAGATTTCATGATTAAAGGGATGAAGGACTCCATCACTCTCCACTTCTGCTAGCATATCAGTAGTGAATATCAAAAGGCCACATTAATAATTAGCATATAACATATTGCTCTGTGTAATTATGCATCCATATGTTTGCCACCTTGATTTTTAATTCATTGGGAAATTCTGGGAATATTTATTTGTGGAGTTGATATTACTGAAAAAGGGCTTTGAAACTGAGTGAGTTTTTAATGAAAATGGTAAAAAGTTGCTTCAGGCCAACAATGAGGACCTAACAGGGAAACTGAGCAGTTGCAGGTGACTAATAACAAGCGAGTCTAGAAGAGGTGAAAACCACGGAAAGTTAGACACACACAAAAGGTGTGAGTGGGTCCACCCGTTCATTCATACACACAATTACACACGTGCGCGTGTGCGCACACACACCCTTCCCAACATGCACACCTGAGTGTGAAAATAAGCAGACCCCTTCGTTAACAGCTTTGTCTAAGGCTGGGGTTGAACTTCTGAAGCCGTGGAGCAAAATCGTTTCCCATAAAAGACAATTTCATTTGCCAAAACGAAACTACTTTCTGTTATTGATGCTGTAATAATGAAATGGCCTGTACTCCGAGTCTGGATCTGGACAGAGAATGCCCCGTTCCCGGCCCCGGGAGGGAGTTCTCCGAACAGTCGCGCTCCGGGTACGGCCGTGTGGGTGTATTTCCGTCCCTGGCCGGCTGAGCTGTGTGGCTGTCATACTTCCCAGTGACAGCTGCATTGACAACATGTTACACCCCACATTGATTTTACAGTTAAGCGGCGGATGGTGATATATTGGGATTTTAAGAATTCAGCTGAGAGGCTGACTTTTGCCTTTTATCATTCCATTAAAATTTTATAACCATCTTTTTCATGTCATTTCACCCATGAATTCTTCCTTTAGAAAGTGATAGCTACCGCCGTGAGCATAACTTTGCCCGTGTTCAGAGCTTTTTATTGTATTAGCAAACTGCCCCAATTATAGTTATTACTCATGTTTTACATAATTGTGCTGACCCTTTCCACCACGCAGTAGCATGCCGGTTGATTTGTATATAGAATAAGACGATCCGGCCTATCCTTTTAAAGCACACACTTGAACCCGTGCCAGGAGTCGGGTTTTAACACTTGCCTGGCCAGAGGAGCTAATTAAGCTGCTTTCGGATCCCTCTCCTGAGTCACACAAGTTTAAGGGCCCTTCTTGCGACAGGAGCAGGGAGCCGACTCCTTGCGGAGAGCTAATAAAATGCACTGGCTTTTAAGGGGGGCGAAATCATGAAATTGACATGGAGCATCTTCTTTCCCAAGATAAGAGATCATCTTGAGGGAAAGCCTGTGTTCCGTGGGGGCCTGAAGTACAAGTTCATCTCATTATCATGGCTGTTTCACTCATAACATAGCGTCTTATCCGGGAGAAATGAAAAGCGTATTTCCATCAAAACACATCAAACCGCATCCTTGTTGTTTCTTCCCCTTGAAAAAGTCCCCAGTTTGAGAGGGCACATGTGAGAAATAATTATGCAAAACCCTGGTGAAGCCCTAATACAAAACATTCTGAGTTGTAAGTGTATGTTGCTATTTTTTTTAAAAAAAAAGGGTGGCATGGAGTTAGATATGAAAGCCTTGAATCCAGCGTTGATTTTATGAACCCCAATCTCAGAGGATGTAGTTTCTCAAAACAACACTGACATCTTACAAGATTCACGCTGATTTTTTGTTGGGAAATAGCCAAGTTTGGATGACACGTACGAATAAGAAAGGAATTCCTATTTTGACATAATAATGGCCACTTCTGTATACCGGAGGGCAAACGTGAGAAATGTCACCGTGGTTTTAAGAAAGCTTTAACATGAAAGCTAGTCTCAGACTAAAATGCCAAATGGGATCCCTACCAAGATGCCTGGACGTGTAGGGGTTTTTCTCTCCCGATGGGATGCATTACCAAATCGTCAGCAATGACTTGATGTCAGGGTTAGTGCTGGGCAACATCTTTCCTCTCAAATAGCGATTTCGATTCGACCATCAGTCCAGTTGGTGACAAATACATGGACCCCGTTGCATAACACTGTGCTTGCATGACCTTAGTCACTGGTTTTGTGAAGCAGCTGTTACATTTAAAACAAACCTTGAGTGTAACACTGAATCGCACCTGTGCACACACACTCACGTAATCAATGCTGTTTGGAACAATTACTAAGTCCAAGTATACTTTTTATAAAGATTTTTTTTTAAATCTAATGTTCACAGAAAAAAAATCTCATAAATGTCAACATCGCTGTGGGCTGGAAAAGGAGAATAGGGTATATTCTTGATCTGCTGTAGCAACTGATAGATTTCGGGCCGTGGTTTATAAGAATGCTAAATGTTCCGGAATTACAGCTGTTACTGATCAGTGATTGAGCAGATTTGTGTTATTGCACCGTGTTCTTGCTTGTACCTAGAGAGCAGTAAAGCCTCCGTATAATAAAAAGCACCTGCATTTTAAATGAAATTTCAATTGAAAAACTTAACAGCCCTTCACATGGCAGAATTTAACGCAGCCCAGTAAAGCTTAAATAACACTTTGCCTCCGCGGGCTGAGGGGCTTGCATTCAAGGTGACTTGATGGTGGCGCGCGGCGAAATTATTTACAATTAGGGAATTTCTCTGGAGGGCTGCAGGGTACTTGGCGTTCCGCGGCACCTCGCGGGCATATGGCGGGCCTTCTTCAGTATTCACGGGGCCTCCCGAACCTTTCTGATAATTGAATCAGTTAGAATGCTGAGTGGAGCGAGCGTAAAACCTGTTCCCCCAAAGGTCAGATCTGTGCATTGTTTATTTATCAGTAGGTGAAAGAGCTCCATCGGCAGCTTCTGTCACAGCCGGAGTAAAAAATCACCTGTAATATTAACAGGGAGTAGATAAATTGCCAAACACGGCCGGGAATGATAAACAGAGCTGGGCGTAACGTGGAATATGGAGTGAATGGTGTGGGGTGGGGGCCAGGGGAGGGGGTGACTGGGCTGTAAACCGAGTTTGTTAGGATAGTGCTATCGATTATAATTAGTGACTGGGGCTCTTGAGGAAAAAACCGTGGCAGAAGCTAGAACTTGGGCTACAACCGCCCTCGTGTCTATTTCTCCTCTAATGCCTTGATTTCCAAAAAGTCCTCGGGCTCTTTCTTAGCATGAACTTTAAGAAAAAGACACGATTTGGATAAAGCCATTTTAGAAAGGAAAACGACAGACTAGCTCAGTGCTACTCAGCAAGTCCCTCTTGCACGTTTGTGAGCAACGCCATCCCAGTCCCTGTCTTTACTCCTTGGCTTTTCCCGGGTGTCCCATTCCGTGACCTTGTGGGAGGGGTAGTGCTCCTCGTAGCTTTGTTCTCAGGAGATGTGGGGCGTTTCCAGGCGGTATCACTTTTTGGGTTTCATTCAACACTATAGGACCCGGACCTGTGGACCCTCCGATCCTCCTGGCTGCGGACCCGAGAGCGATGCTGGTCACCTGGCAGCACCCTGTAAAGCCCAACGGGGTCCTCACGCACTATAACCTGTACCGGCGCGGCCAGCTCTTCCTGAGAGCTCCTAGCGATGCCACCAACCGCACCGTGACCCGGCTGCGCCCACACACCGCCTATGCCTTCCAGGTGGAAGCCTGCACTGCCCGGGGCTGTACCCTCTCCCCCCCGTCCCAGGCTGTCTGGACACCCCCAGACGCGCCGGAAGGCATCCCAAGCCCCGAGTTGTTCTCCGATACCCCGACATCTGTGATCCTCTCATGGCAACCACCCGCCCACCCCAACGGCTTGGTGGAGAACGTCACCATCGAGAGGAGGGTCCAGGGGAAGGAAGAAGTCACCGCCTTGGTGACTCTCCCGGGAAACCACTCCACGCGGTACATGGACAAGACGGCCGCCCTCAGCCCGTGGACGAAGTACGAATACCGGGTCCTGATGAGCACTCTGCGCGGGGGCACCAACAGCAGCGCCTGGGCGGAGGTGACCACGAGGCCCTCCAGGCCCGCCGGGGTGCAGCCCCCCACGGTGCGCGTGCTCGGACCCGGGGCAGCCGAGGTAAGATACTGGGTGTTCTGTCTGCAGACGTAGGCATCGGCCCCGGATGGACTCTGTGATGAACAGAGCCGCCTACTGACAAAACGCACACATTGGTGGTTTTACGCACGCTCTGGAGAAACTGGGCTTTGGCCCTTGGCCCAAATGCTCTTGAATGCGATGTCAGTGCTTCATTTCTCCCTGTGTCCCCTTAATTACCTCGTGGCGATGCTTGCGTTGGCCCTCACACACCTGAAATACTTTGAATACCACGATGGGATGCTTAGCCTAACCACCACGTCAGATTTAAATAGAGCAGAGAATGAGGGGGGCTGGGGAAGCTCGGAGGCCTGGATTAGCATATTAACCGAAGTCCCAATGACCCAAACTCTGATATATTTTCTTAATGATCAAAGAATCAAAATGATGGGGAACGGCATTAAAATAGGGCATGACTGGGCGATCTAGAAAGCGTTCCGTTATTTGCCTCGTCCTCCCGGGAACGCTCCAGAGGACGGGCTAACTGCCATTGTCTTGGCTGGCAGACAAACTTCATTCAAGGGAAATTAGTGTAACCAAACAGGAGGGAGTTGTGTAGCTGCGGAGCCTCTTTTGTGTAAATACACACATGCTTCCATGGCTCCGGGCTTGTACTCCTGCCAAAAGCATCGGTACAGTAGCTTGCTCACCAGAGCACAAAACAAAGGACATTTGCATAACAGCAAAGTTCATCTGTTGAAATTATGACTTGGATCTACGCGGTGCCCGCGTGTGCTCTCCCCCACCCACACCAAACACGGGGTGATGCTCCATAGGGGAAACTGTGGAAGACATTTGATGTAGCCTCCAAGCTCGATGCTATGTTTAAAAGCCTTGATGACTTGGTTGCCATATGAGACTGTTCAAAGCAACACCTGTTTTTGATAGGAATGTCAAAAGTGTCTGGAGTTCTGTGGGTAAAACACCGGAAGGAAGTTCATTGGAAGTCCATGATATGCACACAGTGCTTATTATACGAATGGGGTAAGCTTAAGAATTGTTCTTCGCTCAAAGTAAAAAGAAAACCCCCAACAAGCCTGGAGTTGTTAATCATTGGGGAAATGACTATCTGTCTTGATCCTGGGGGACTTTTGCAGAACTCGGGTAGCAGGCCCCATCAATATGACGTGACGTAATCATGGTCCCCTACACAAAGGCAGAGCTGTGTGATAGGCATCATTCTGGATTCTCTCCCAACAAATATTTCATAGGCAGGCCTAAAAAAAAAAAAAAAAAAAAAAGAAGAAAAACTTTTAAAAGAAGGATGGCTCAATGCACAATGCTGTTTCATTTATTTATCAGTGATGATCAAAAAGCCTCCAAAACAAGTTGCCTGGCTTTTTCTCTTCCTTTTTTTCCCTTTAAATTCCCTCTTTTCTTCGATTTTGTGACCTCATCCAGGAATGAAACACTACCCACGGCTTCTCCACTCACTCGAGAAACATTTAGATCAGCCTGGCCAGCGAGCTGAGTCTCTAAGGCTGCCACCAGGAATAGTGGTGTCACCGGGATCGTGTCCAGGCACGGCTTTGCTATGGGGTGTACTTTAACCAATGTAAAAGGAATTGAGTCTTAATCATCATTCTCACCTATTTTTTTTGTTAAAATATTTTAAATTGATTTTAGAGAGGAAGGAATAGAGAGAGAGAGAGAGAGAAACATCAATGATGAGAGAGAATCATTGATCGCCTGCCTTACGCATGCCTCCTACAGGGGCTCGAGCCTGCAACCCTGGCATGTGCCCTGACAGGGAATTGAACCGTGACCTCCTGGTTCATATGTCAATGCTCAACCACTGAGCCACACCAGCCAGGCTATTCTTATTTTTTTATTATTTTCTTCTGACTTTGATTTTGTATGAGATTACAAATGTAGATAATTCATATACCTGTCTCCAGAAATGTGTCTTTTAAAATTTAAAAAGAATTGCAAGCTAAGGCAAAATATATATTTCAATCAGCCATGATCACAGTTACTTACTGAACTCTGTGGGCATGGCGGTACATGGGGACCAAACTTGGACCCTGCTCTCAGGAAGCTTATAGTCTATATCTGAAAGATATACTCTGAAATGTCAGGGACATCGAGAGGCAACAATAAAAGATGAACGCGGGTGGCATATGCATAAGTGATACTTCTCATGGCCTGTGCACTTTTTCCAGGGTCTTTTTCCTCCATGAGCATGAATGTGTTGCTAATGTGCCCCTGCAGAATTTAGCCAGAAAATGAAAGGACCACTGCACATAGGATTCCATTATCAAACCTCATTGTTTCGTCTGATGCTCAAGCCCATGAGTTAAACAGTCACCCTTTGCTCGCCTTAGTCAAAGCTCTCTGTGCATCTCTTATCTTTGCAAATAGGGGATGTTGTTTTTTACTTTCTTCATTATGCACAAGTGAAATATAGGAACCCGCTTGTGCATCCTCAGAAAATGCAAGTATTGATCCCCTCATCACCATCTAACACAAAAAAGTGGTTACACGTTTAGAGCGCACACTCCTGATGCAAAGCAAGGGGTTCTGACGTTTCATTTAATTGAGTTACAAACAGGAAAACGATCAGCCCCTGCTGCTCACTGCCCGTGGATGCGCGTGGACGTGTGAATTGTCTCCGTGTGCGCTCCGTGCGCTCCAGGTCCCCCGCCGGGGCGATGAATCACCAAGGTGTGTGCTGGTCTGACAGGCCTAGAAAGTATCAAGATGGAAAGCCAAACCCAGGGATTGGCATTTCCCTTAGTTCCTGGAGGTCGCTAACTGACCCCAACCTCACCTCTGTCTCATGCAGAAATAGGCATTTGCACCCGACTGGCATGGCTCAGTGGTTGAACGTTGACCTATGGACCAGGAGGTCACGGTTCCATTAAAGGTTTGATTCAAGGTTAGGGCACGTTCCCAGGTTACGGGCTTGATTCCCAGTAGGGGATGTGCAGGAGGCATACAATCAATGACTCCCTCGTCATTGATATTTCTATCTCTCTCTCCCTTCCTCTCTGAAATCAATACAATTTTTTTTAAATAGGCATTTAGCAAGCAACTTCACTGAAAACCAGACAGAGGGACATTCCAGGCCTGATGAACTTCAGTTGCTCTGTTGCTGTGTCATCACACTGATTCCATTTATCTTTTCCTCCAGGTCACGTGGAAACCCCCGCTCATCCAGAATGGAGACGTGCTTAGCTACGAGATCCGTATGCCCGACCCTCACGTCACAATCATGAACGTCACTCCCGCAGTGTTAAGCCACGTCATCACTGGGCTGACTCCTTTCACTGATTACTCAGTCAGCATCGTGGCTTGCTCAGGGGGGAGCGGGCATCTAGGAGGATGCACAGAGAGTTTGCCCACCCACGTTACAACCCACCCCTCCCCACCTCAGGGTGTTCAGCCGCTGTCCATGGTCCCCCTCAGTGAATCGTATGCTGGGGTTTCTTGGCAGCCACCATCCAGGCCAAATGGACCTGGTTTGAGGTAAGAAAAAGGGACTGTGCTTTGGATTTTGCTGTGGGCTCATCTCTCAAGGAGGGAAGGAGGCTGTAACTCACGTATGAACGTAGAATCAATTCCTTATCGGTTATCCCCCACTCATAAATTTCATACAATTGCATATTATGTATCCTGACTTTACGGGACCATACAAGTTCATCAAGGTAGAAATCTTTTAATTTTAAAATACGTTTTTATTGATTTGAAAGAGAGGAGTGGAGAAGGATAGAGAGAAACATCGATGAGAGAGACGTCAATCGGCTGCCTCCTGCACGCCTCCTACTGGGGATCGAGCCTGCAACCTGGGCATGTGCCCTGAGTGGGAATTGAACCAGCAACCTCTTGGTTCATGGATTGATGCTCAACCACTGAGCCACACCGGCCGAGCTATATCCTAATTTTGTGAAGAACTAAAAACCCTTGAGACAACAACCATTGTTCTCTAATGATTCTTGACATAGTCCTTCCTTGATTTTCAAAGTGTATTTTTATTATATGTCAGGAAAACCTGATGCATGTTCTAAAGGATACATTTACACAAATGTGTTTCAAAATTCCAAAGCCAGCACATAATCCTTTGGTATGCTGTTATTACCTGGAAACCTGTAGAGCATGTAGTCAGGGATACAGATAAGAAGTAAGAAAAGAGTAGTTCTGAAGTGGCTTGACCCTTAGCCAAGGCTATGGAGTTGATAATATTATCACTGTTTATAAAGTAATGACGGTTGAAGTCTTAGAAAATCATTAACTTCATAAGCATTTTGTATTTCTACTTTGTGTAAAACTGGCAAGAAAGTCTTGGCAAACCTGACATGCAAGAAATCTAAAATGTGACCGTTCTCACTGATAGCAGAAAAGTGCGAGTAGAGTTGGTGGGTTTAAAATAGTTGACTGTTTGAAACTCAAGTCAGGAAAAAATAATAATCTCAAAAAAACTCTGTAATCGTAAATGAAGATGTGTTCTTTACATTCACAGGCACACATCACATACCCCCACGAAACACCGGAATTTTGGTAATAACGTGAGTTGAGATAATCCCAATGTTTCTGCTTGTCTTTTGCTTTAGATATGAGCTTTTGAGACGTAAAATCCAGCAGCCACTTGCATCAAATCCCCCAGAAGATTTAAATCTGTGGCACAATATTTACTCAGGAACCCAGCGGTTTTATGAAGATAAGGGTCTTAGCAGGTGAGATTACGAAACTATGAAAACAAGTGCTAGCATTGAGCTCAGAGCATGTTGAATAGTTCAAAGTACCGTCGCGTCTTCACTGTGTGTGCATGTTATCAGTGACGCCGTGAAACGCGTTTGGTCGTTATCTGCGCCGTTAGTCATCGCGCCGAAACAGTCTGTTTCACGTTTGCCGTCTTAAAATGAGCCTTTTGAGCTCGAACTTGGGGATGTTAACTTACTGCCTCTGCCACAGCTCCAGCAAGACAGAGATTAATGTAAGATTAGAGGAACTTGGAAATCTTGAACCTATCTGAAACTGGGGTGACAGTGGGCACTTGTCAGATGCGCGCTGTTTCTGGAGAATAATTGTGATACATCATTACTGCCGTCCGCAGAAATTATTTAGTTAACAAGCTGGGCACTGGGAAGAATTCGGTCTAGAGTTTGGAGAGATGAGTAGCCAGCAGGCAATGTCGGGAGGAGATTGCACAGGTGCGCAGGGAGATGTGAGTGCTGGTCCATCCTGTGAGAGAGCTGGCTTGGTGACCTTAGGCAAGTTACTTTCTCTGGCTTCACTTTTGTTGTTTATAAAATGAGGCGATTCAATGGGATTAGATGATTTCTACCCCTTCGTGAGTCCAAGCAACGTAATTAAATTCTAAAGCACCACAGGTATTCCTTTAAGAAAACGTTGCAGACACCTTTTCTCTCAGGTTCCTTCTGTAGGCTCAGCACTGAATAGCTCTACTCTGAATACTGAGCACCGGCCTCGTGTGCCACCGCCTCCTCACCTGGCCTCTGTGCTCGGTCCACATCAGCATTTCTCCTGGCACAGCTCACATGCACCCCTTGCTCCCCAGCTGCTCCCATTGCTGTCATCTCCCCGTCTGAGTGATCATCCTTTGAGTCTTGAACTAGAAGTTTCCTATTGGGCTTCCCCGCCCTCTCTCTTCCTGGACTGAATCAGCTGAAATATCCATCCATCCATTCATTTATCTAACTTACCTACTCAGTAAGTAAACAGATTAAAAACCATCATCTCAACTGAACCTGGTTTGCTACTTCACTTGAATAATAGCAACTGAACCTTGAGAGGAGTATGGTTCTAGAAATAAGATTTTAATATATATTGTGTTTTACAAGGAAAAACGCCATAGTCGTGTGGATAACGCAATAAGTTTACCATTTTCTGTGTGTTCGTAAAGGGAGGGCCTTGAGGGTGGTCTCAACAAATTGATCATTTAGGGAATAACTCGGTGACAGTCCGGAATTTCTAAATTAGCCTTCAAACAATTGGTTTTACTAGTTACAGTATAGACTCAATATAAGTTAGTTCACTGTTCAGATTTCTAAAAAAACTGTTTCCTACATGGTTTGAAATGGTACATTTTTCAAGACAAATGTAGGGAACACAATATTTTGAGAAGAAGTTGATATCCATAAGTTTTGCATGAGTATATGAAGCCCATTAATCTAGCATTTTTCTTTTAAAAGTATTTTTTATTATTAGCTAAGTGGAATGCCCCATATGATAATAATAATCAACATCTAAGTCCATCTCAAAAACCAATATACCCGAAGTGACTTTAAAAACACTGTAAGCACACTAACACATTCTTTGTAAATGTAAAGTGAAATATATATAAACTGACATACAGAGCCATGGGTCTGTATACTTGCATAAAGATTAGGTTTCAGGTACAATGAAAACAGTGTAAGGAAGTATTTTATCTAAGATCTCAAAGTGCTATTTCCTTAAATTTTAACTTCACCAGGGAAATTAAAGAAAATGCTGAAGACAAATGCATGACGTCAAGTAAGATGCCTACTGATTTCTCATTTAAATAAAACCAAGGGTAGTGGCGAGCATTAAATATTAGAAATGAGGAAACTGGAGACTCAGTCACCTTAACTAGTTGTGTATCCTTAGGCAAAGCCACTTACCTTCGCAAGGCCTCGGTTTTCTAATCTGTAAAATGTGGCAGCTAATTTTATTATTTGAAGCAAATAAGCTCTAAAGCTATCTAAAATTGTAATATCACTTTGAAAATGGTCATTCTAATTACGCATATCTACGTGACCTACATTTCTATTACGCAGGCATAAATTGTGCATTTCACCATCCCTAAGTTATAATGAAATGGCTTCATGTATCACTGGAAGAAATAAGGACTTACAGAATTTATTTACAATTCACCCATTTAGTGCCATCTGGTGCTGTTAATTTCACTTATAGAAAAGAGTAAAAAAATGACTCACTTTAAAGCCATAAAGATTACTTAATATATAATATCAGATATGTGGAAGAAAATTCAAATTTTGTAGGAGATTAGGCACCCTGACCCTAGCTAAATTTCTTTTAAGCCAGGTTGTGGAGTAAAACACAATTAGAAGTATTTTACTCAGGGGGAGAGCTAATGAAGCCGAGGTCGCGGGTTCAATTCCCATGTGAGCCATTAGCTTCGTTTCATTCGATTGTCACAGACTTGCTACCCTCTTAACCCCAACTCCCCATCCTTCCAATTCCTACTAGTGGGGACACAGGAAATTTGGCGAGACTGTTTGGATGTGTAAGCAAAAATCCATCCCCTCCGCTAGAAAAAATACCTCAAGTTCAAGCCCCAGTGATATGCCGGCATCCGAGTATGGACAGATCAGGTTCTCATTATGACTGGCATTACTGCTGTCATCGCTATGATGGTCAGAAGAGCAGGCTCTGGGATCTGACTGTCCAGGTTTGAATTTGTACTCTCCCACCTACTACCTTGACGACTTAAACAAGTGATTTAACTATGAGCCTGACTTTCCTCCTTTTCAAAATAGGTATCATCATAGCACTTTCTAGTAATTGTGAGGAGCTAATGAATTAGTACATGTAGGAACTTTCTAACACGCGTTAGTCAGTAAATACTATTGTTACTCCTTCTCACGTGTCTTAGTCATGTAGACCAGTGGTCGGCAAACTCATTAGTCAACAGAGCCAAATATCAACAGTACAACGATTGAAATTTCTTTTGAGAGCCAAATTTTTTAAACTTAAACTATATAGGTAGGTACATTGTTATTAACTTAATTAGGGTACTCCTAAGGCTTAGGAAGAGCCACACTCAAGGGGCCAAAGAGCCGCATGTGGCTCGCGAGCCGCAGTTTGCTGACCACAGAATTGTAGACTATTTAGCACTTGCTAAAAACCATAGGTAACCCTGTTCCCTTTGGCTCAGTGGATAGAGCATCGGCCCTCTTACTGAAGGGTCCCAGGTTCAATTCCAGTCATGGATCGATGGCTTGACTCATTCATTTTTTGTGTAACTTGGAAAGTCCCTATCACAGCCTCAGGCTTCCTCCGCCTACAAAGCAAGATTCCGTTTCCACAGGGTTAACTCAAGTAACTATCTTCCCACGAAGGCAGAAGCTGGCTCACTGCGGCCAGACTCCCAGCGGGGGACATTGCTCCCTTCCCGAGTTAGGATTTAATTTAAGGGTTTATCTCTCTGGGAAGAAGCGTAGGTACAGGAAGAGGATGGTGAGGAGAGATTCTGATGTTTGAAAATGGATGCATTTCCCAGAAGGAGAGCGTGAAACTCTCCGATGGAACGCAGATAGAAAACTGGCGAGATTTGCAGCTGCATCTTGAACGGATCTTAATCCTCATCACTTTCCAAAACAGTGAGAGGGGGAGACGATAAACCACGCCGGTTTTTAATAGCCGTCCGTGCTTTGTGGTCCTAATAAAGTACTTTCCTGAGACTGGTTAAGGCTCAAGAGTTACAAAAAATAAGGATTGTGTGTGTGTGTGTGTGTGTGTGTGTGTGTGTGTGTAGAAAAAGAAGATAATGTATACTGTTAAGAGGGAAAAGAAAATTGTGTATTTTGTGCAGAAAAGTCCTGTATTTTTGAGGAACAAGGAAATTGTGTTTTGTTTCCTGTACAAGAGAAATGTATATGTGTCTCTTCTACAAACCTTGTAGGTTCACCACGTACGCGTATAAAGTTTTTGTCCACAACAGCGTGGGTTTCACACCGAGCCAGGAAGCGACGGTGACGACGTGGGCTGGCCTGCCCCAGAGAGGAGCCAGGGTCTCCGTGACTGTCCTCAACCACTCGGCCCTCGACGTGCGGTGGGATAAACCAAGTAAGCAAGCTGCTTGTCATGTGTTTATCTCCCCTTAATGCGTTAGTACCGCCGTGAATTTGAAATGAACAGGTTCCAAAGCCAAAACAACAAAAGCCGAGGTCCCTGTGCTGTTCTTCAGAGGCCGACTCTCTCCTCCTCCTCCTCCCGGGCCTTCCCTCCCTGGCGCTGTCCCCTTTGGGTTGGACTGCGGTGCCCAGCAGCTGTGATGAAAATGCCCGGGTATTCACTGGAAACAGCATCCCATTGAACGTGCACTTCCCGGCAGAGAACTCGGCCCTGCGTCTGGTCACTCACGCCTTATTAGCGAGAGCCGTTTCCGAGGGGGGCGGTAATGTGAGTGAGTTTTCCCCGTGCGTCCGTCATCCTTGGCCCTGGTCATAGGCGGGATTCCAGCCCAAGACAGGAAGAGAGCCTGGCCGTCAGCACTGGGCGTGCGTCAGTGACACAGGGCTCACCCTGGCCCCATGCAGATCACCTCTGTGCAGGCGGTGAGGAGTGTTTGCAGATGGATCCAGTCTTCCCGGCAACTTTAGAAACTGCAGTAGCTGAAATTTCAGATCTGCTTGGTCGGTAGAGGAGCATGTAAGAGCTGACCTTTAATTCACAGTGATCCATTATCTCCATCAGAAAATAACAAAAATGCCCAGCCAGTGTGGCTCAGTGGTTGAGTGTCGACCTATGAACTGGGCGGTCATGGTTTGATTCCCGGTCAGAGCACATGCCTGGGTTATAGGCTTGGTCCCCAGTAGGGGGTGTGCAGGAAGCATCTGATCAAGGATTCTCTCATCTTTGATGTTTCTATCTCTCCCTCTCCCTTCCTTTCTGAAATCAATAAAGATGTATTTAAAAAAACAATACTGCATCTATCATATCATAGATATATGTATTATAATCATTCCTCTAAGCATTACTTCAAACCTGGCAAATAATTGAATCAAAACTTGCTAGAATGTTACCAAATATTGAGAAATATGGAACTTGCAAAGCCCCAATTCAACTATATGTTTAACACAAGAAAACTGCACCCACTCGGGTTGTCACCTATAATACAGAAAGGTGTGAACTTACTCCCCGTTGGGATTCTGATCCGGTCTTGAGTTTTGTTACAGTATAAGAGGAGACATACTTCCTATTTCATTTTAGAACCTCTGTGTAAATCTGCCCCAATGTTGTATCAGTTGTGAATTGAAACCAGTATCAGGTGACATTCATTGTAAATTAAAGTTAGTACTGGTTGTGTTGATCTGTGGTGCCAGTAAGTCATCCACTTCTGCAAAAGACTATCATTCTAGGGTGTTTATAAGGTCTTCGGTGTCCCTTCGGTTGGGATTTTAAGCCATTTAGATGGAAGAATGTCGGTCAGTTGACACTTACGATGCCCTCTGAGACACCTCTGGGAAAAATACACAGTTTTCATCTGGAGCTGGAGTCTTCTGTACAGTAGAATACATTTTCTCTCATCTCCCTCTTCCTCTCTATTCTTTCCCTTCCTGGTCCATCTTAAGTGCCTCCTCATGAAGGCAGGCACCCCCTCCCCCAGCTGACATATGGATGCTTCTGTTGAGGTCCAGCTGCTGAATTTCCCGCCTGTAGGCCCCTCATGTTATAACTGCATGCCTGAAGAGAGCCTGCTTATAAAAACCGACAGACATAATAGATCTGAAGCAGCTCGCTGAGGTTTCATTACCTGGGTCATCCGCACCTCTGACCTTCGGGACGTAGGTAATGCAATCTGCCGCTATTCCCACTCATACCTTAGACATTTTTCAGGTAACTGTGGGCACCAAGGTTACCTCGTGGAGGTGGGTCAGCGATGGGAAGGATTGTTGCATAATCATTTTCCTCCCTATGCAGCCTACTCTCCTAAGGACATTAGCTAGTCATGCCTCTGGGCAAGGCCGCCTACTTCTTGCAATGTTAGTAATTGTTCTCTTGCTTGGCTGGCATGGCTCAGTGGTTGAGCATTGACCTATGAACCAGGAGGTGACGGTTCGATTCCCGGTCAGGGCACATGCCCGGGTCGTGGGCTCGATCTCCAGCAGGAGGCGGCCAATCAATGATTCTCTCTCATCATTGCTTTTATCTCTCTTTACCTCTCTCCCTTTCTCTCTGAAGTCAATAAAAATGTATTTTTTAATTACAACCATAAGGAAGGTTCCATATGCTTTCTTCCATCCCATTCTAGGAGAGCAAATCATAGAGTTTATTCTGTCTTTTTCCCCCTGAGGCCCTTTTAGGTCAGCCACATTGAAGGTGTTGTGTGTTTATCGTTAACAGCTTTTCAAGACCTACAAGGTGACGTGGAGTATTATACGCTTTTTTGGAGTTCTGCTACCTCAAATGAATCTCTGAAAATCCTCCCAGATGTAAACGCTCATGTCATTGGCCACTTAAGTCCAAACACGGAGTATCGGATTTTGATCTCTGTCTTCAACGGCGTCCACAGCATCACCAGCGATGTCCTGTACGCAACCACTCGTGATGGGGGTGAGTCCAGGTGTCGAGGGATGCTCGCTGGGCTTCAGGGATGCGAGTGAAATTGATTGATTCTTGCCGAGGCTGAGATCAGTCAGCCCTCCATTATACAATTTCCGGTGTTGGAGGGAAGGGGGTCGGGGCTAAAATCTTAAGTGCTTGCTGT